GTCGCCAAGGCTTCCGGGTCCGGTCGCCAGCTGAAAAATTGAGGAAGTTGAGTGTTCAGTCTGGACGCAAAGAGGTCCACACTCAAGGGACCCCATAGTCGAGCTATCCTGGCGAAGACTTTCGGTTGAAGCTTCCAGTCTCCTAAATCCCTCAGATATCGGGAGTTCCAGTCTGCGGTGTAATTGTCCAGGCCTGGTATGTGTTCCGCGGTCACCGACACGTTGTTTTGTAAACAGTAATGCCAGAAGTCTCGAGCCAAAACCGCTAGGATGCGTGACTTGGTACCTCCAAGATGATTTATGTACCTGACTGCCGAGATGTTGTCTAACTTGAGGAGATCGAGCATGAGACGCCCTTGGGTGTGAGGCTGCGAATGGCAAATGAGGCCGCCAGTAGTTCCAGTGAGTTTATGTGCAGGAATGATTCGTTTACTGACCACCTGCCTCCTGTGGATATGGAGCCGCAGCGCGCGCCCCAGCCATGTAAGCTTGCATCCGACTCGATGATCATGTCTGGAGTGGAACCGAAGATCGCCCGTCCATTCCACGCTTCCATGTGGGTTAGCCACCAGTCCAGTTCCTCCCTGGATTCTTCGTCCAGCGTGATGTTGGATTCGTACGACTGACCCTTCCTTAGGCAGGAAGCTTTTAGGCGTTGTAGCGCCCGATAGTGGAGCGGTCCCGGGAAGATCGCCTGTATAGAGGCTGCTAGTAAGCCGATTACCCGAGCCAGTTGTCTTAGAGAAATGTCCGAACGGTTCATTATCCTCCTGATCTCCTTCTTGATGTTGGACATCTTGTCTGAAGGGAGGCACAGGATTTGTTGTACAGAATCGACTCGGAATCCTAGGAATTCCATCTGTTGAGAAGGTTGTAATACCGATTTCTCCCAGTTCACTAGGAAACCGAGGTTCTGCAGGAGGTGAAGGGTCCACGACAGGTGTGACAGCAGAAGGGATCGCGTCCCGGACATTATGAGGATATCGTCCAGATAGATAATGAGGCGAATCCCGTGTAACCTGAGAAATGCTACCACTGGTTTCAGCACTTTCGTAAAGCACCAGGGAGCGGAGGAGAGCCCGAAAGGGAGGCAACAGAAGCGCCATTTCTTTGTGCCCCACCGGAACTGTAGCAGATTCCTGTGTGTTGGTGCTATCGGGATCGTGAGATATGCATCTTGCAGATCGAGTTTCACCATCCAGTCTCCTGGGAGAAGGAGGTCTCGGAGGCAGTGTATGCCCTCCATTTTGAAATGCCGATATTGTATGAAGGCATTGAGGGGTCTCAGGTTGATAACTGGGCGAACACCCCCGCCTTTCTTCGGCACCAAGAACAGGTTGCTTATAAAACCTGGGGTATCTAGAGGAATTTCTTCTATGGCATTTTTGTTGTACAAGGTCTCTATCTCCGTGGAGATGAGGTCGTAGTGGGACTGTGGCATGTGTGGTACATGAGGGGGGGAAACCTGAAAGGGAAGACCCGTCAATTCTAGGTGGTAACCCTTTACAGTCTGCAGTACCCAACTGTCGGACGTGATAGTGGCCCAAGTCTGAGAAAACAAAGCCAGTCTGCCCCCCACATTTATATGGGAAAAATGGGGAAAAATCGTACTCACCATAAGGGCGTTTTCCTGGGGTCGTTCCTCTGCCGCCACGGGCATTCCAAGATCTTCCTCGAGAAGGGAAGAACGGAGTGTAGGAACGCTCCTGGTTTTGTCTCTGTGTGTTGGAGGAGCCTCTGCCCGGTCTTGAGAAACCCCGGGGGTTGCGGCCCCACCGAAAACCTTTTGGTGGAAGACCCTCTTCATGGATGATTGGGCTTTATCCAGCGCCGTGAATGTTTTGACATAGGAGCCCAGGTCTTTGACGAAGGATTCGCCAAACAACAGACCCTTAGCTGCGGCCCCTGGTTCAGAGGAGGCCATACTAGCCAGCTTGGGTTCGATTTTCAGCAGGATGGCCTTCCTGCGTTCTGTTGACATGGCAGTATTGGCATTGCCGATCATGCAGACTAAGCGTTGGAGCCAGCCAAACGCTACTTCAAAGTCTACTGGTGCCTCACCCGACTGAGCTGCTTCCAGCAGTTCGTACAGCTTAGTGACAGGACCCAGAGTGTCTAGGAACTTGTCCTGACAATTACGGAGGGAGTAATCCAGTCCTCTCTTGGCCTTCCAGCCGGTTTTGGCTAGAAACTGGGCTATCTGGGGGTCCACTTCTGGGGTTTTTGCCACAGCATCAGGAATTATGGGTCGGGGGCACTCCGCTCTCAATTTGTTACGGCTCTCTTGAGAAAGGGACTTACGTACCCTGAGGGCTAGGTATCGGCTGATGTGCTCAGATGGTTCCCACTCGGCAGAGCGTGGGTGCCGTAAGTTGTCAGGGTCGAATAGCGGAACCTCTTTAGGGTCGCGGGTTGTTTCTGCCTCGGGCGCCCCTGAATGAGCAAGGGTACGCGTTGGTGTCAAGGGGAACTGCTTTCCCTGGAGGCTTTCACCCTCTGAGAGCTCGTCCTCGTACGGGTCAGAGTACGGGGCGTCAGACCCCTCATCCCCCTCCTCGTCTGAGTCAGACAGTACATCATGGGCCTTAGCCCTTTTCCAGTCTCTGGTAGCCGTAGCTCGCCCAGAAGCTCTATTGCGCGGTTGTTGCGCGCCATCATGGACAGCCTGAGGCATGTCAATCAGAGCAGGGTCAACCTGCATGGGGGGGGGTCTTGTGAGTGTCTGCGTTTGGTTAGCGCTTTGCGCCCTGGTAGTCTCCCTTCAGGAGGGGTATGGGTCAAGGCTGGGGTAGAGTGAGGTTGTACCTGTTTGAGCGCTTGCGTAATGGAGTCCGAGATGGTAGAGGACATCGCGCCCATGGCTGAGGATATGGCCTTTGAAATAGATTTGGACATGGTGGTGTCCAGAAGAGATTGGAATTCCTCAGAGCCCATGAGCCCAGGGTCGACCTGAGGATCAGGATCAGTAGTGGCCATAGAGGGGCTATGTTTGCCAGGGAATTTATCACCAGATTGCATGGTAGGTAATAGAGTGCAAGTGGGAAAATAACGAATAGAAAATAATAAAGTGTAAATGCCGAGTACTAGGATTGATTAACCCAGGTACAGGATGGAAAATACAGGGAGATGGAAGGTAATTCCCAAAATATAAATGCAGAGAAATCAAACTGTACTAGTAGGGGGGGCTGCCGGAACGAAATCCGGTGAGGGAGGGGTCAAACGGCACTAAAACCGAGTAGAGGAAATGGCCGCCGCCTAAACCGGCGACCAGAAACCAAGAAAATGGCCGCCGCGAGCTACCGCGCATGCGCGGTGCGTGCGCGCGGCGGGAACTAAGGTAAAGCGAATCGCCGCGCGGACGAAAGTAGGTCTGGCCGGCGGTGCTGAAAATAGTGCCGGGAAATGCCGCGGGGTCTCCCCGGGCGCAAAAACCGGCAGACTGTGACCGGGGAGGGAGCCCCCAACCGGAGGGAGGGGGCTGGGGGGAGGGAATTGATAAAATACCCAGGGAACAGAGAGGGACCGGCCACAGTAAATAAAACACAGGCAATAGAGATAAAACAGGCAGTGTATGGAGAAGTAGGAAGAAAACAGAGAAAAAAGGAGGGATAAACCAGATAAGGGGTATCCCCACAGTAGTAACACAAAAATATAAATCTAACAACTATATAATATCCTCTGAGACATCCCACAGTGTACACATAGAAATAATAATATAAGAGTGTACTTATCTTCTGAGGGAGCAGCGAAGAAAGAGGTAGAAGCATGGAGTGCTACACCTTATATACTAAGGGGGTGGATACCTATGAGCACTGTTCCATATGCTAATGTTATTGTTATTTTTTTCTCTCATTTGCATATATCTCTCTTCGCTGCTGAGGGAGAATTAAAGAAAGAGAAGCATAATAGGAGCCTCCGTGTCTTTAATAAAATTACAGCATGTGCTCTCTGTTACTTTGTTACACTGTTCATTTAAATCTGATTTGTCTTCTGTTATCCCATACAAATCTATTTCTTTATCTGCTAATTCTAAATTGTCTTGAACTGCATTTCATTTACAAATCAATGCATTGTAAGTACAGACTAGTTTCATAACATTTCTGATCTTTTGTTTTTTCTTATTAACAAACAATTTCTTGTCAATTTCACTATTAGCAATTTCACAATGTGTGTATAAAGATTGCCACAATACAGCATCTGAATAGCTGCTATTAAATGCAAACTGCAATTTACTTTTCTCTGCAATATCATTTATGAATTCCATGTTACTCACCAGATCAGTTATTTCTGTCTATTTCGTTGCTTCATCCACACAGCTGCGCAGGGCCGTCTATAATATGATTAGGACCCTGGGCAATGCATTTTCTTGGGCCCCATGGGCCCTGTCCCTGCCACTGCCTCACCCCCCAATTACGTCCAACCCGCAATCACACTGACAAACGTACTGGCACATACACACACAGACAGACATTAAAACATTCACAGATACATACTGACACACACAGTCACTACACACAAATATATACTGGCAGACATACTGGCACACACACAGACATACATACATACACAGACACATACATTAACAGATATACTGACACACACACAAACACATACACTGACAGATATACTAAAACACACAGACACATACACTGACAGACACATTGACACACACACACAGGCATACTGACATACACACACACACACACACACACAGGCATACTGACATATACACAGACAGACATAATGGCTGATATAGACAGACGTTAAAACATTCACAGATATATACTGACACACACATACACTGACATACAAATATATCCTGGCAGACATACTGACACACACACAGACATACATACATACACACACAGACACATACACTGACAGACATACTGACTGACACACACATACACACACAGACATACTTACATACACACACAGACATACTGACACACAAAGACATACACACAGACAGACTGGCACATACACACACAGACATTAAAACACACAGATACATACTGACACACACATACACTGACACACAAATATATCCTGGCAGACATACTGACACACACGTACACACACACACAGAGACATACCTACATACACACACACAGACATACTGGCATACTGACACACACACACACACACACTGACATACACACACAGACATACTGGCATACACACAGACATACTGACACACACACACACACAGACATACTGGCATACACACAGACATACTGGCATACACACAGACATACACACACAGACATACTGGCATACACACAGACATACTGACACACATACTGACATAGCCACCCTCCAGGTTCTTACCTTTTCCTGGAGGGTGGTTTCCCTGGTCCAGTGGCAGGCTGAGGCAGATGGGAGTTCTCCTCTGGAACTCCCCTCCTCCCTCCTCCCGCGCGGCTATCTCCGGTGGGAGGAAGTGACGTCACTTCCTCCCAGCCGGCTGCAGAACCGGAAGAGGGGCCCGGTCGCGCTGTTTAAGCGCCACAGCGCCCGACCGGGCCCCTGCTGACCTTAGTGCATGGGCCACCCGGGGAGCCTCCTCAGTGTGCGGGAGCCGCACCGCCCAGTCCACAGGGGCTGCGCAAATTGCGGGGCCCACAGAGCAGCTGCTCTGGGCCCCCAGGAGCAACTGGGCCCGGGGCAGCTGCCCCGTTTGCCCCGCGTTAAAGACAGCCCTGCAGCTGCGCAGTTCTGGACTTGAATTTTAATGATTGCCAATCTCTGCCACGTGCTTGCTTCTAGAATTTACATTGTATCTTGTGCTTTTTGTCTTAGTTGAAGAAAATAGTCTTGTACAGTTTTTGTGATTTGAAAACGTTCTTTTTCTTACAAACCACAGTTCTTCTGCGACAGTGTAGATTCTTTTTTTTCTCTTCAAGTTTGTTTTCCCAGTTCCAAAACAGCTTTGTAACCTGATTCTTCTCTCTCCCCCCTTGAAGTGAGAACAAAACTTGAATAGAAGACTGGCTGGCTAGCTAATGTAAAATCTTGTTGGAATCGTCACTGTTAAATCTACTTAATTTCTTCTTATCTTCAGTTGATTGATATATATACATCTTTTGTATATATAGTCTTGGGCCAAATGCTCTCCACAATAATATATGACTATATTATTGAAAAGTACTAATACGCAATCTGACTTACGGTTTCTTCAGGTTTATTCTTAGATACTGATACATAATAAAACAACAAATGATGTTACAGGATAATGGACATTCAACAGCAGATGGTAATTGATGGACTTCTTTACATCCTTACATCTTTACATCGAGAGAGAGCAAGCCAAGAGAGCGCGAGACCCCGTGTCCCTCTGTTACTGTATAGATGTGCCCATACTGACATCCGAGTTTAACTCTAGCCAAATAAGGACAAGACCCCCAAATCCACTTTCCAGAGCTCTCGGACAAAGGAAAATGTGACTTTTTGATACCATCTGTTACTTATGTCAATCCACACATCCATATATATAATCAATAGAAACATAGAATATGCAATATTCTACAGAGGGTCAAGCAGGAATCTGTTTAATGTGGGCTACATGCCCGGCTTTTATGCAGGTCTTCCAGCCAGGGACCTGGTGTAAGACTGTGACAATTTCTTGCAACAACCAATCACAACAGTACAGGTATAAACACTCCCACCTGAACAGTATCCTGGAGATAATTGTGCTAAAAGTAACTCAATTATCTCCGAGGATAGAGCATAACCACCATTTTACAAGGATATTAAAAATGCATAAAAATACATAATTCCAAAACTACCAAACGGAATCCCCACATTCAATGTATCCCCAGATAGCTTAGATCTGAGCGCACAATAACACCGAACAGCGCTTAGATCCTATACACACAGTTCAATGTCCATGGAGCCAAAGTCTTTCACATAGTCTTTTTGTCATACGAATGGGCTCCATGGGATAACTATCTGGAGTGCCTCTGTTCGCATAGAAATGTACCGAACAGCACGGCATTCATATGAACGGATGAACAAGATGAAGGAAGGTCGGCGGCTTCAGCGGTGTTCATATGAAAATAGTGTCCGTTTTTAGTTCCATAGATTCGTTGACGAACACCGCTGGGCGTTCGCATGTCCAAGATGGCCACCGCCACGTGCTCGTTCATACGAACGACCACCACCCAGCCGACCATTCAACAATAGAAAGTGTTTGCGGTTAACCACACGTTCTAATGAGGCCAAGAGGTTATCAAGCAGCACACTTCCCTGCTGGGTGACCTGCCATTTGGTAGTTCTTTCGGGAAAAGGGGAATTAAACATAGGGACCGTACGGACAGGGCAACAACCAAACAAACAGACGAACCAAGGTGAAGCAACAGTAATCCCAAGACAGAGAGGTCTGTCACAAAACACATCCCTGGAAACATCTTGGTAAACATGTGTACAACCATGAGAATAACTGTGAAGGGGGAAGATCAACAATAAGATCGATGGATAAACTAGGTCTAATAGGTATAGGCAAAGGTTGGAGAAGACCACATGGCACTTTGTGTGTAACCTACTTAGTTACACACACATCACATGTTTGGACATATTCCCTAATGTCCCTTTTTATAGATGGTGATAAGAAGTCACAAGACACAAGGGCTGTGGTTTTAGTAATACTAGGATATCCTGCAGTCTTGCTTTCATGACATAAGGACATGACCTATTTTCTGACTTCTGGTGTGACATACAACTTATCCTTTGGTTTATTCTCAAGGGACTGGTACTAGTTTGATTTAAAGGGATTCAATAAAGCAGAGGACACAGAAAGAACAGTTGTAGCAACAATTCTTTTTGGGAGTATGATATAACTCTCCTCAACTTTGTCTTATTCATACACATCAAATTGCCTAGACAAAGCTTCGGCTTTGGATTTATGTGGTCCAGGTCTATATCTGATTAGGAAATTAAACCCAGAAATTAAACCCATGTAGCCTGCCTGGTATTTAATAGTTTTGCCTCTCCTAGATTTGACAGCTTCTTATGGTCAGTCTGTCAGGGTGGTGGTCCGAAGACCGGGACCCCTGTGCCTGATGTGATGATGAAAGGAGTATTCAGCATGGCAGTGGATAAGTAGGACCTGGTGCAGGGTAACCACACACCCCCTGGTGTTTAGCACCAGCGTTTGTGCGGCCACTTACCAAGACCCTGATGCAGCTTAACGGAAGCCACAGCAGATGAATTGCTGATATGTATCCAGTACTAGAAACAAGGTAAGACTAGAATAGGCACCAAACAAGAAAACAAGACAAAACTAGAAGGCCCCAGAACCGGAGAAGAAAGAAAGCAGAACCCAGAACATGTACACAATACATAAGGGAAACATTAACAGAACAGGGGCAGGATAGGACAGAATGTACATGGACTGGAAATACAAAGTGAAACAAGACAAGAGATATAAGGCAAAACAAGAGGAGACATAACTAAATACTATATATGTAAAACAAATGTAAATGTATGTCTGGAGATTTAGACATACATAAATGGCCGAGAAGTATGCAGCCCAATACTGTGCGAAAGTACTCCAAGTACAGTGGGTCCTTACTGCCTAAATATGCATGACCAAATAAACAACAATAAAACACACACAGTACTTACCTGCAAAGAAAGGGGCAGAGGACATGAAACAACTGCCTGCAGGAACCAACTGAAACAAAATGATTAATGTAAAAGGAAAGGGTGTGGCAACATAAAACAAACATATAAAGGAATCCAGGAGACTGTGAATTCTAGGAATGGAATAAAGGAATGAATCCAAAAAACCCAGCATAAAGAAAACCAGACACAGAATAGAAAACCAGAAAAAACAAGAATTGTAAAAAGAGTACTGGATACCAGAAGCCATGGTCAGACATCAGAACGGAACAGAACAGGTCCTGACACAGTCAAAATCATGATA